ATTTTTACAGCTGAGCTCAGAACATCGGTTACTTAGATTCACTTCTACTGCCTTTATTCCCTAGATGATGGCTATTTACGCTTTTTCATAGGTGCCTTCTGGAAGCGAGCTTCTAAGTTGCTTATTGAACTTGTCCGGAATACGCTTTGTTTTAGTGGCAATTGCAGTGCGGTCGCAATGAAAGCTCTCGAGTTCTAAGGTTTCGCTTTTCGAAAATTTTGTACATTATAACCGAGTCTTCAAATCCGTTGCTTCGGTAATAAGAATTCGCTCCGTTATATCTCAGTTTTCTAATTTTCCTCCGATAGAGCACGTTCAATTGACGGCAGTTATGAAACCACACCAGCTCAACGCGCGGCACTAGGAGACTATCAGCTGGCTTTCTTGCGACCAAAGAACTACCACGACAGTCTGTCCAGTCCGCCTCCTTATAGCCCTTACGCCCCTCCTTCAATCCCACAGTCACGGTCAAACCGGAGTTACAACTCTGTCTCCACCCGCCATTCGTTGCCGCCGGTATCGTCTCGTCCAGTTGAATCACAGTCCATGTTTGTGACCCCTCCTGTCAGCTCCACTCAAACAGCCCCGTCAAAAACAACGGTTCTCCCGCGCATCGGGACGGTCTTCAAAAATGACTACGATATCACTCCTTGCCTACCCACTCCTGATGACGACGTAATTTCATCTCGCACTATGCAACATTCATCATCTACTGCGTCAATGGAATATATTGATGAGTTGGATCTCCCCCCAGTCGCCGACTCCCTTTCTGTAGAGGAGGATCTTTGCTTTTTTGACCAACCTGTCCACCATAATACATTTTCTCCGGACGATGCCCCCATATTCCCAGAAATTCCCATGTAGTACCTTTAGTGTCGGACAAGTTGATAATTTACTTTGCACATACTCTAATAATCTGCCATTCTTCTCTTGCACCTAACAAAGGCAGCAACAACATTTATTCTAAAATTCCTTACAGTACTTATGTACAGTTTGCTTGGTCTTTTTTATCGGTTACACATATATTTTCCTTGACTTCGTTTATTCTGCACAAGTATAAGTCACAGCGACCAAGTTCGGGTTGGCCACTAGCACGCTATCAGTGCTTAGATGACCGCCTGTGACGTGCTGTAAATATTGATTTGTTTATTGGTAAGTTTATTTATTACGAGCAAAAGTCGCGTAGTGGCAGCCTGATGACATGCTGTCATAGCGCTGTTTTTTGCCAGTACATCGTCTGTTCTCTTGATCCGCCACGC